TCCAGTAAAAAAGTAACCGGCACAGGTCAGCCGATGGGTGCTTGATAGTTCCTGTCAACTGCGGGGCCCACTTGTGAGAACCTTAATAAGGCATCCACAGGAACCTTGGTGAGTCCAGCTCAATCGTAAAAAAAGTTGGATACCTATCGATTCTCCTGTCTCAGTTCAAGCGCTGATGGGAGCATGGACGAAGCTAGCGTTTCATCCGTCCGCTTCTCTCGTTCTCCCGGTAATTATGTAGCAAACCATGAGTGTTTAAGTAGCCGCGTTCATACCTTGCGACTGAGGAGATTAGGGAATTGCTAGCGACCGGCGCCGATCAATACCCATCCACTCAATTGACGCGCAATCGCCGGAAACGCCAGACTTCCCAAATCGCAGGATCGCTCAGTCCCCGCAGTCGCCAGAACAATACCTATACTTGTCGCGCAATCCCTTAAATCATCAAAACTCTTAAATCGCAAAATATGAACGCGGCCTACGTGGCCGAACTCTTTTCGCGGATGCGCTCCTTTCGCTGATTCCGCAGAGTCGCAGACTATGAACAGGGCCTCAACTCTAGAGTGCAACGTTTCTCGTCTACTGCAATTTGGGTATTCAAGTAATGAGGGGGACAACTCGGCCGCGGCCTTGTATCCCCTCACAAAAAAGGCATGGGCTTAGAGCGCAGACGACCAGATGGATAATCCTGGGAACATAGTCTCCACTAACAACAAGACTAAACCCTCATTAGAAGAAGGGGAGCTAACGCTACGAGTGGTCCCCCCTCCCCCTTCTAAACCGTGTTAGCGCTCAACTGGCTATCGCGCATTAGTACCGTTCATGACCGACAAGGCTAAGGAGAACACGGGTAGCTACAGTAAAATCGTCCTTATGAGACCATATAATCTGAAAATAAACAAGCCGGAGAAACCATCAAAAACCATCAAAAACTCACCGTGAATGTAGCAGACATTGGAAACTGATATCATATAATACCTGAAACAAAACTAGATGCAAACAAACGCTCGAAAAAAGGTGATCAATCAATTAAGTCAAAGCAAAAAAAAGATTGCAGGTAGCCTTGAAATTCGGAAATTCGGAAACTGAATCGCGACTCTTGTGCAATTACGGACAATCCTCCACCACTTACGCCCGCGCACTGTCTCAGCTGCTACGGCTGCGGGTGTGGAGCGGTTTTTCTTTCTCTTGTTGTACTTTCGTTTTCAATTCTTTGATTTCATATCTCACCCTGTTTGCAAAGATGTGACGGGACGTGTTCGATCGATGTGATGGTTTGAAGCCATCTCTACATTAAAGTTTTCAGTGTCTGAAGATGTCCTCGTCATCTTCGTATTCAGGCAGCAGTGCTGTGTACAGCGACTCATCACGCGCAAGCACGCCTGAAGCAGGTGGGTCTATTCCATCCTTTCGAAGCTAATGAAAACATACTTATTGGGCTTTTGCTTTGAATTTTGCTCTTTTATGCATTACGTAACACTTAGTGACATTTTTGTCCTCGTTCTCGTTGGGCAAATAGAAGCGCACTTCAGTTTTTGACTGAATGAGATCCGTTGAGATCGCTTGTCACGATTGCGGTGTTGCAATGAGAACATGTGATGCTCTTCAAAAAGCACTTGTAGGAAAAAATGGTTTGAATATCGCAACTGGGAAGTTCCTTCCTTCGTTTTTCGCGCTTCCCTTTATAAAGCAATGAGGCTCCTAGGCCGCGTTCATACTTTGCGACTGGAGAGATTGCGCGATTAGGGAGACTCGGTGATTTGAAAGTAGTGAGACGTGGAAAGTTCAGGTTTAAAAGTGGGGATTGCTGAGATCGAGCGATTAAGCGATTTGGGAGACTAGTGGCTTCAAGCGATTGCGCGCTAAAGAAGTTGATGATTATCCCCAAATTCAGAGACTGAATGATTCGACAATCTCCCAGTTTGCCAGATCGGTCAGTCTCTGAAAAGGTCAGATCGCCGAATTTCGCAAAACACCTCCGAAACGCCCGTATCCGTAATCGCTAGTGACGGGCGCCGATCGATACTGATCCACTCTCTTGACGCTCACTCGCTCAAAACGCTGAGGCACCTATATCACCGTAATCGATACATGTATTTTCTCCTCGTGAATCTGTTTAATCACCGAGTTATCCAAATTTTCGGATACCCGAGTAGCAAAATATGAAAGCCGCCTCCCTTTGTGGAATCTTTGATTTTGGATAATCACGGAATTCATGAGAAGAAAAGTATGCGAACCAATCTGGAAAGTCAGAGAACCCGCCCATAGATTAGGTACATATCGATTGCTCAATCAGTACCTGTATAACCTTCTTTACGAATTATCCGATCTTCCAATAGTGCGGCTTGGCAGATCGATAGCTATTGTTGCTGTTTGAGTTACTTTTGATCTCTCACTTCCTTAACCCTCCAATGTCGCAAGGTGTGAGCCGGGCTCGTGGTGATGCATGTCACCAAAGCATTCGAAAGCAGTAATTCGGTAAAACTTCCCGCCGCTGAATTCGAGCAACCACATCGATTTTGCGACCCTATAATTGTGTTGTTTTCCGACACTTTCCCTCTGGAAGCTTCACGAATCCGATCATCTCCTAAACCTATACTAGCTCAGAGGGATTCGCAAATCATTTGCATGACGACAAACATCTTTTATTGTTTATGAACGTCTGGGAAAGGTAAGCTATGAAAGTGAGACCTGCCCAGCTTCAAAGAGCAAAAACCACTTCTCCATTACGGCATGTGTTCATCCTCTTCAGGACTACATGTCTCCAAGGTCCCACAAAAACTCTCATCTACATTTCCTAGTTCACAAGTTTCCTCTCCAAGGAAGGACTCAGGAATGAAGCCCGTAACGTTTCGCACCGAATAGAAACCATAATACTTGTGTGAAACTGAAACTTACCGTAATCTGACGAACTATTGCACCGAATTGTCCCGCTGCCTTGGGTAGCGCTCTTATCACTTCACTCGTGAGTCAATCAAAGCGTGAGCTCTGTCACAACCTATCGGGAAGGAAGTGGAGGGAGGGGCGACTGCCATACGTCGGCATTCCTCGCCAAGCAGTTCTCGATTCTGCTCGGATTAGTGGATCTCACATTATCGCAGCTGATCACCTAAACCACAACCCTGATAATACAGGTGTTACCTGAGTGCATGGGCGTACAGTTGTGGTCCAACAATGCCTAAGCCATGAGCATCTTGAGCGGTCCGCGTTGCGTGCGTTCAAATCTGCATTTCTACGTTAGAGCCAGGGTAAGGGTGCGTTTATACTTTGCGGCAGAAGAAAGTCGGCTATTCATCAGTTTAAGCGACTACGGCTGTAAGGTATCGATCTGGCTAGGGGAGGAGTAAAATCGGTGATCCGGCGCTCCAGGCGCCTTGGCATTTCGAGCGACTACGCACCGAG